GGAATTATGTGTAGGAGGGGAGCTTTTTCATCGGCTCGAGAAGCATGGGAGCTTCTCTGAGATGGAGGCTCGTGTTCTTTTTAAGCAGTTGATGCGAGTGGTTAAGTATTGTCATGATAATGGCATTGTCCATAGAGATCTGAAGCCAGAAAACATCCTATTGGTTTCATCATCCTCATCTTCTCCTATTAAATTGGCAGATTTTGGCCTTGCAACCTATATTCGGCCTGGTAAGAACTTTCAACTTCGATGGATTTTGTCCTTAGTCTCATCTTTTTGTTGCTTCTTTTCCCCCTTTATTGACAATTCTTTCTTATGTTTTAGCAGGACAGAGATTGCATGGCACTGTTGGTAGTCCATTTTACATAGCTCCAGAGGTGCTTGTGGGAGGTTATAGTCAGGCTGCTGATGTGTGGAGCGCTGGTGTTATCTTGTACATATTACTTAGTGGTGTGCCCCCATTCTGGGGAAAGACTAAGTCAAAAATATTCGAGGCTGTTAGAGCAGCGAATTTGCGGTTTCCTGCCAGTCATTGGGAAGGCATATCTTCATTGGCAAAGGATTTGATTGCCGGAATGCTTCAATTAGATCCGACCAAGAGACTTTCAGCAGCGGAGGTTATAGGTACGATGGCTATATATATGTTCTCTTACAGTAGGGCCGGCCTGCTGCGATATTTGTTTGTTTTTTGCATTCTTATAAAGTACAAATGTAGACATTTTGAAATACTCAGCATAATTTCCGGCCGATTGAGTTGGAACTTGTCATGACATTCCTTGAATATGACATCAGCCGCTATTTGAAAGGAAATATATGTTTGTCCATTGTATGACAGTAATGTAGAAAAGTTGAAATTACACGGCATCTTATGAAGAAATTCAAAAACTTATTATTCCAATTGGGTTGGTGAAGTTTTAAATATCTTTGAATGATACCGTGTGAATAAATATCAGGATACATGCTGAGACTGGCAGAAATTTTTGCCTTGTCAAAGAGGAAGTTTGCTTTCCAATTTTGATCTTTTCTATGCAAACTTTCTATTGCCAATGCCAAAAGATGAGTTCTTCTATTTTCATGCTTTCATATTGTGGTATAAATGAGTTCATAGTGAAGCTTATGAAAAGGGCTCGTTTCCTTTATTCTCCAATATTGTCATGCGATGACAGAACTTAACATATCCATACATTTTTATCAATTTATTAGAGTCTATTAGTTTAATGTCTATACATTCTTCTCACACTCAGAGTAGAGGTAATTCTTTCCTTGACTGTGGTATATAACAGACCATCCCTGGATGGAACTCTGTGAACAAGGCGTTCAAGAACCTAGAACACGAGACAATCTGGATCAGGAAATGCTTGAAGTGGGTGGAAGTTCTTTTTCTACACCATTTATTGCTAGAGTTCAGGATTATAGCTTCAGCTACGAATCACATGTCGTTGGTGCAAATTCCATGGAGCAATCACCAGCATTCACGTGCAAGTCATCTTTTTCTTCTTACCTAGCCTGTGATGAATGTTCCACATCTTCAATTGGGGGGTTTTCTTTTACTAGTGCCTCTAAATCAAGTCCTTCAGGCCCAAGGTTCCCTTCAAGTGTTCTATCAATGCCAAGTTTTACTTTCTTCAGTCTTGATCCTGCTGCTGAACAACGGAATGATCTATTGGAATATCAAACCGATATGTCAATTACTACTGTGAGCAATGGAGGTATGGGCACTTTTTCCTCTTTACACTCGTGGAAATTTTCCCTTTCTTAATATTCACAGTACCTTAATATTCCCCCTTGTTTGTGAATGCAGAAGCAGGCTTGGCTAAACCATTGGTACTGCCAGATTCTTCTGTTTTTGGTAAGCACGTAGTAGAAGCGGAGCAGAGGTCAGAAACTCGGAGAGCTGGGACTGGTGGATCCAGGGTAGTAGGAAAACACAGTAAAAGGAATCATACGATAGGATTTGGCGAGCATGATCAAATTGATTTTGTGGTGGCTGAATCAGTCATTCGCTGGGCATCATGCACGCACATTCCAACTTCTCCCTCTCTTAGATTATCGCTCGTTTGCTAGGATAACCGAACTATGTTGTAATGGCGACATGCAAGAGTGCAGTCCTGTGTGCTGACATTTGCCGACACAAAAATGAGACACTGTCGAGCTTGACGGCAACGTCACCGCAACCTGAGGAGTCAGAAATTTTTTCAATGGAGCAGGGAAGTTTGGATGAAGCATATGTTTGGGTAGATTGTGCTTATGCCTATTTGACATTTGAGTAATGGTTGGAGGATGATATGTAGATTGTAGTTACTAATGAAGAAGTTTGAGTGGGTTACGCGGACTCGTGAAGTGCTTATATAAGTTTTGTCTAAATGCGTCAGATGGCTTTTTCTAACTGTACCTAGGTGATGAATTGAAGAGTCTTTTTGAATTCTTTCTGGTTCTGAGCTTGATCTTTGAGATGTCAAGCTATGTGAAACTTGACAGATTTTCCAGCAGCCTACTACTGACATCGAGAAGATCTTAGTGCCGGGGATACTCCCACGTCGGCCCAATTGGCTATCAGAAGATAATTCACTGCTCGTCGGACACCACATCAGATGTCGTCTCGATGACGGCTTCCGTGCAAAAATGAACGGGGGAATGAAATGGTTGCGACTTTGACCAAGCCGGATATCTCTGATTCTCTGTTCACTTAAGCACGGTGGCTCAGATATATTAGAAGATTAAGATGAGTGATAGGACAACTTACAGCTAATCCATTACCTCCCTAGCCCAAAAAAAAAGAAGAAAAAAGCCATCGAGAGGTAATTATTACACTTTTCGAAGAATAGAAGATTACGTCAGTAATGAACAGTGCATTTAAGAAAAATTACTATGAGTAAATAAAAAAAATGCGTCCGCCGGGAGTCGAACCCGGGTCTATTGCTTGGAAGGCAATTATCCTAACCGTTGGACTACGGACGCAATTGTTGATGAAATAACCGATTTAATATATTTAATATTTTAATTCGATCTATTTTTTTATATTAAAGTATTATTAAAGCATTTTTCTTCAAATTTAGTATGATTCGCAATTTGAGATTGTATTATTCAGAATTAAGGATGCCTCATCTCAATAAACAAAGTTTAAGCAACATTGGCCATAATATGATTTGTAAATCAAGCCCGATGAGAAGTTACAACCCGCGAGGTTTGAGCGATATGCGGAAAAAAATCATCCATTTGAGGAAAAGTTGCAATCGAAAATTTCTTGGTTATCGGTCGTAATTCTCGCTATTTTCTAATTACAAGCAATTATTCTCAATACACAAGCATGAGATTTCGAGAAGAATCTCAAATTTTTGACAACATGGGCCTAATAACCTAAAAAACCTTTAATTTTAGCATGTCTCATAAAAACCTCCAAGTTTAGGTCATGTCCCAATTCTACCATAAATTTATTTTTATCCCATAAAAAACCTTTAACTTTAGGTCCTGTCTCAATTCTATCCTAAAATTTTTTTTGTCCCATGAAAAATCCCAAAATTTAGGTCTTATCCCAATTTTATTGTCGGGTCCCAATTTTACCGTAAAGTTTTCTGTGGTTTTATAAAAATACACAAAATTTTACTTGAGTTATAAATTTGTCCCCAATAACCCTTTGTCAAAATTTCTCGTGGAAAACTCCTAAGCATAAGTTGTTCGAGCATCCCAAGCATGATATTTACAACCACGAGAGATCAAAGATTCAGCACAAGATCACTGAGAACGATTTTGACAGAGGATTAATGGAAATCAGATTTGAGACTCAAGTAAAAGTTGATAATATTTTATGATTAAAAAAAATAGAGTGATATTGAAACTAGACCTAAAGCTGAGATTTTTTTATAAGATAAAAAAAAGTTAAGGATAGAAGTGGTACTAAACCTAAAGTTGACAATTTTTTTTTACGAGAAATAAAGTTTAGGGTAAAATTGGGACTAAACATAAAGTTGAGGATTTTTTTTGGGACAAAAAAAAAAGAATTGGAACATGACACAAATTTAGAGGTTTTTTATGAGACAAAAGGTAAAATTAGAACACGAATTACAGTTGGAGGTTTTTAAGGGTAATATACCGTAAAGCATGCGACTGAAAAAACAATTTTCTTGACCTACATAACATGGCATTTATATATTGGTAATATCACGAAAAACCCCAAACTGGTATACCTGTGACAATTTTACCTTGAACTAATTTTTTGACCATAAAAAACTCTAAACTGGTACACCTGTGACAATTTTACCTCGAACTAATTTTTTGACCACTAAAAATCCCAAGTTGGTACACCTATGACAAATTTACCCTTCGTTAGTTTCCGTTAAATTTTGCTGTCAAATTGCTACAAGTTTGATGACACGTGTTAGTTGACGGTTGTACCAGTTTGGGGTTCTATCCCTCTGTTTGTCACAAGTTTACTAATTTATGATTTTTCGTGATATTAATCAAATTTAACGAACACTAATGGAGAGTAAATTTGTCATAAATGTACAAGTTTGGGATTTTTAGTGATCAACAAATTAATTCAGGATAAAATTGTTACAAATATACCAGTTTGAGATTTTTGGCGGTTAAAAAATTAGTTTGTGGTAAAATTTTCACAAGTGTACCAATATATGATTTTTGGTGGTAAAAAAAAAATTCGAGGTAAAATTATTACAGGTATACCAATTTGAGGTTTCTCGTGTTATTAACCCTTATATATTTGCTCAAACAAGTGCTATTTTCAGGGGACTAAAGACAGAAGGAAACGAAAAAGAAAACACCTATAATTTCAAAAGCTCCTCCCCTTATCACGAGAAACTTTAGTTCGAAATTTTTCACTCAAATTTTCATTCTTCCCACTTTCCCAAATATAGCAAAGTTAAAGCCAAATAAAATCCACTTGATCAAGAAAAGCAACTCTCTTCTCACAGGGAGCGGGACAATGCTAACAAATATAGAAAGGAAGCATTCCTTACTGCATATATTGCGACTCAATTTGATAATTCCGCAATAAAATATTTGGCTCTACTTGCTATTTGATGCTAAAAGAGTCGACGGCACAGTCTCAATGTGCAATAATTGCAAGTTTCAGGGGGTCAAAATGAAAGGAGCTGAGAATTAGGGGGGAACATTATGCAACTTTTCCGAATAAATCAAAATATATAATGGTACATGCAGTAAACTGTCAAGAAGTAGGGGCGTATTCTTGGATTGCCGTTGCCAATTTATTGCGGTCCTCTTGTGTCTTGGTTTTGATCAAGAAGGTGCGCGCCACAACTTTTTCGTTGCTGCCTCCATCATCCTACAAGCACAAATGGCGAACTGATATTACCTACGCCAGACGATGTTTATTCAAAGCAGCAGCAGCACCACACTGAAACAATGATTATCATAAATTGGCTGGAATCACCGGAAATGTGAAGGCTCATTTCTGTAACTACCACTTCCATCAATGTGTTGGATGACAAGAAAATTCTAGGAGCAAGATTGTTCTTCACAATCAACTATCCAAGATAGCAGTACAAAAATGACTAAATCAAGGGTTGTCAGATAACCAAGAACGATGAAGAACTCGAGACTGTTCATGTATGCAACAGCAAAATGTATTACCGCAGTATGGAATATTGCGACAATAGAATTCTTCTGCGAGTTTGTCTTGATGCCTGGATATATCAAAGCATTAAGCAACACCTTTCCCACCTGCTGTAAACAAGAAAAGATTTAAAAAACCCACGACAAGTACAGGAGATTATGATGCATATGGTCAAGCAATACTTGGCATGGGCATTCCACAATATCATTTCAGACAGCTTAGAAAACAAAACACGTGAGAAGTGAGGACACCTACATCATTGCGAACCAAGATTGTTGGTTTGGATTCTTTTGTTCCCTTGCTTACACCCTCTTTGCATTTGATGGAAAGCTGCCCCGCACCTTTATCTTTCCATGCATCCTTATCAGCAGGATCGGTGGACTAGACATGTCAAGAGTGAGCAATATTAATATTTATGAGAACACATCCCAAGTTATAGGCATGCACTGATATCATGAAATCAGCTATTCTCATCAAATCTGGCAAAGTAATCCATTATGCATAAATTTGGTTAGATATGCCAAGACTTGAGGAACATATATCATGATGACCGGTGCCAAAGTTTCAGCATTTACTGGTGTAATACATTATTGGCAATGCGGAACTTGTTTTCAACTCCAATTGCATTCAAAGATAGAACTTGAAAGTACCAAGTGAAACTGTATAAAAGTGATGAACTTGTATAAAATTCCCAAGTAGTCATCATAAAAAATTACAGTTGGAGAATGACAGTCCCATCAAATTCTACTGCTGCGGGTGTGAAGTGATCAGGGACAAAACCAGCAATCCAAGCTGCCATTGCTTGTCAGTGCTCGGCAATATGCAGAGCAGATAGTTTGGGTATTGATACATCCGTCATATCACTTACATGTCACCCATATCAGTGATTGCAACACTTGAATGAGATAATTTCCAGGTGGTAAAATCATGAGTCACAGTTCATCAGCCGATTACTTAACTGAACATTTTAGCACAAACCAGCACCACTAAGCAAGTTTACCTATCCATCTAAAGTCTAGTTATGTGTTCTCATCCAGAGCCTTTTTTTTATTGCACAACATGAACTTAGCCAAATGCTCTTATTCATTCTGGCCATATTTTTCTTCTTGCATAAAGTGACTTGGCCAAACTTAAAAGACATTCATAAAAGAAAATACGCAGGAGAATTCCAACAGCAAAACTACAGAGTTGTTCTTAGCAAGAAAATAGTAAAGCCATCTATCGAACCAATGTAGGATGAACTTTGTCAGTGTTTTTAATCAATCACAAAGTCACAGAGGGAACAAGCCAAGACCAATTCAAGTAATAAATGATCACACTGATCTCAATAGACACTTGTCATAAATGGCTACAGCCATCCCAAGACAAGGCCTAAAGCCAAAAAGACACGAACAAATGAGCAATCAATAAGCACCATGAACAGAAGGCGATCCAGAATGAGGTGGTTCCATGTAATGAATCAATATCAAATCGCTTGAAGCAGCAGACACTCACCTTTACATAAAGCTTGCACTTGACTTCATGGACAACCACGATTCCCTTTTCCTCGGATTTTTTCACAGATGGGCTGCTAGGCTGCTCCAACTCATCTTCTGTTGACAAGAAGAAATAACAACATCAATCGCATTTAATTTTTGTGCACGTGTATGATGGAGATTGTCTAGTTTCTACTTCATATGGGTATGCTTCTGACTCTATGGGCCCAATCAGACTAATCAAGCATACTCAAAATATCTGCTTTATCATCAAAGATGAACATAAAACTTATATACATAAACCGATATTACCATTCACAATACTAACAATTCTACGAAATTTTGACTAAGAGTTATTTCTGTATGAACTAAGCCATCTCAAACGAAGTACTGTATCAGAACTCTTGTTACCATGCTCTGGGACAATTTAGCACATTTCTGTATATTCTATGAGAATTTGTAAATAAAGTTCAGATTTTTCTTACCACCATCTTTATCATCAGAAGCACCAGCATTTGCAGAAGCAGAACTTTGGAATCCTGACACAAATAAAAACCAAGGATGAATATAACAATGTGCTTACAAGAGATAAATAAGGATGTACAGTTGGGTTAAATCCTAGAGTTTGTTTCTATCATACATCTAAAATTTCTTTAGCGCCATACTAGCGGGTTAGTCCCAACAATAGCCTTCCTCAGAAGTTGGGGGAAGCAATGCACCTTGCATTCAAAGGATCAAATCAGATGTAGTACATTGCCAAGTATTGTGGGAGAAACCATCAAATGTAGAAAATCATTGTAACAGCAATTTCTCTTAGTCATCAAATTCTAGAAGACAGAAAATTGCGTACATAATCCCCAATATAACTGCCAAATGCAAGTCCTATTAAAAGTGAGCGTATTAACATGTCCTTAAACCACTGTACATACCAGAAAAGGCTGGCGTCTGGCTGCTTGAGAACACCCCTGAGCTCCATGGGCTCACAAAACTAGTATCATTACTGGATGGAGTAAAGACAGGCTTCTCCTGAGATGGCTTTATCACACTATCTTTAATTTCTGGTACTGGCTTCACTTCAGAGTTGAACAATCCAGTACTGGCTTGACTACTAGAAGATACTCCAAAGCTCCACGGACTAGAAAAGCTCAAAGTTGTACTTGTTGGATTGGAATTCACCTTGTCCAAAGATGAATTTGCCATTTTAAATTTATCTTCAGATATCAGTTTCTTTTCGGCAGTATGAGGTCCTGCAGTAGACGAATTCTCCCCTTTTAAACTATTTGCTTTGAGCCAGTTGACAACATCACTGAATTTCTCCTACAACAACAGTATAGACCAACAAGTATCACGGCATGGTAAGGATTCATTTCATGGCCAGAACACATCATCAGCAATTCTGCATCAAGATGAGTAACAAACTGCATTTTAACTAGAGAAAACAACTTAAACAAGGTTGACGGATCTGTTGGTTGTCTTCACATGGTACATACTAGTATTCATTCACCAGCCACAGAAACAACCAAGATGAACCAGATTTCACAGAACCTGCACCTATGAGCATGTGTGATGCATGCACAGAGAGAGATGTTCACATCACGCAGCAAATAAACATGTAAAGAAAATTATGTTCAGAATACTTCAAGGGAAGAAATCTCCCATCTGATCATCCTTTTTCTCACGTGGTGATTAGTTTACAAAAGCAAGTACGGGACCAAAATGCAGCTAGTCGGCATGAGTGAAAAAAAGCCAAAAGAAGACTATGATCCTTCCTTTGTCATTATTCCAAGTAAATATTCAACATGAACAATCCACATTGGCTGTGTTCCAGTGAAATTTCTAAAGGAACTTACTGATGGATAGCAATTTCATGTTCATTGAAATGACCAAGGTAGATCCAAGCATGTTGACACAGCTTGCTCTACGGAAATCTCAGAATGTAATTAGATAATAAACGTACTATTCTACTCTCTCCAATTTGGGCCTATAACCAAAATCCCAAAAGCAGCCGGCTTTAAAGATAAAACATATCAATTCTAGTGTAAGCAAGCATGCTGAAAAGTCATTCCTTTGCAAAGGGATTATAAGGAACACCATCTTGGATAAACTGATGATCGGCATTTGACCTACCCAATAAAACATGAATAAAGTACTGGAATTGCAACTTTCAATTATTTCAACACACCATTCTCACAGTGGAAGTGCCTAGATACTGCAGAAAAGCGTTATAATTCATGCCAACAAATTCTCCAAAAGATCTAAATTTACAAAGGGACTTCCATAGAACTATTCAAGGATAACAAACACCAGTGATATACAGATATTTGCTGATTTACTATAAATAGTGGCCAGGTCAAATGCTTCAAGGCTCAAGCACAACAACATGCAGCAGCACTTCATAATTATGGCTTCCCACAAAACATGCCGATCTATGACCGTACAATAAAGTGAAGTGGGGAAATAGTACCATTATGCTTGAAGCATGACTTAAATAGTCACGGAGGCCATCATCCCATAGCTCATCGGGATGATTCTTCAACTGTGTTTGCACCCAACTGTTCAGACCAAAAGGCATAATTACAAAGTAAAGATAAGACGCACCAAAGTCCGAAAATAAGAGGGGAAAACAACGTTATTCAGCAAAATAAAAACATTAGAGAGCCTCCATAGGGCATCTACCACCTGGTCATTTGAAGAATAAGTCAAACTCATGTCTATGGAGAAATTGGAAATAATTAACACGAACCTTGCAAATTGGGTATTGAGAGCTCTCACGTGCTGCCGAGACGACTCAGCCCGGTGCATATCAAGCGGTGGTGTCGCCATGAACTGCTGTTGAGATGGTTCAGCCCTATGCACATCGAAAGTCGATCCAGCCATTACTCTCTTATTCCAGAACTGCATCGAATCAAAGGAAAAACAAAAACGAATAGTAAGCAACAACCGCCACGTTCAAATGCATATCCCACCTTATACTCCACCTCACTTCCTAAGCTCCCTAGCATAACGATAGCTCCACAGATCGCAACAGCACAGTGCTTCCGTTTCCGAACTTACAAAGAGCAGATAAAGCAGACAAATTCTTCCGGCAGTTCCCATAAAACACTCAATTCCCAAATAAACTATCGTTCCATATGAGCAGGGACGAAAAAGAGAGGCATTCAAAAAGGCCTACGAACTAAATCAACTTTCATCCGTAACTCGTCACTAATGTTCCCAAATGCACAACGACTTCGCATCGGCCAGCTCAAACTCAACTCCGGACGAAACCATCCGAACACCGACGCAGCAACCGACTCCCACACTACACCATAAGAGCTCAAAACAACTTCCTCTACGAGCTCCCAAAGTAAACGACAACCCAAACGCGTCCAAGGCGGAACAGTAGAGAGCAGCGAGACTTCTTCCAACCCCCCCAGCCCACCCACGCCACCCAACACGAACACGCGCAGCCAATGCAAATGCTCCACCGGCCGGTACCGCCGGCGAGCGTGGCAGCCGAAACGACGAGGAAAGGCGCGGGATTGGAGAGGTCGGAGCCGGGATCTAAATTTCCTTTTGTTGGGAGCGGAGAGGGCGGGGGGACTCACCGCGGAGTCGGCGGCGTCGGGGTTGGAGGCCGACGGGGCGAGGCGTTTCCTGCTCATGATTCCGCCGGTGCCGGGAGGAGATTACCGAACGCCAAGAAAGAAGGGAGGAGGGAGGGGATCAAATTAGGGTTCCGTTCGTCGAGAATTTGCAGCAAATCTTCTGATTCGTTTGCTCTGTTCACACCGGAACTGAAACGAAGCAGCCCCAGAGAGAGAGAGCGTGTTCAGCCCCAAAAAAAAAAAAAAAGAAAGAGAGAGAAAGAAAATTTGAGGGGCTGATCGTGGCCGTCGGATGAGGTTGTGGAGTGGAATTCAACTGGGGCCGTGCGATCGGCTCGTCATCGGCAGGAGGAAGGGGCAAGCTCCACCTGGGCCACGTGGGTGGCTCGTTTGGTCTGAAGTGTGGTGGCCCATCTCCGTGGGACCCACCACCTCCGCCGCTTATGGCGTCGTAACAGCCTCCCCCTTATGGACCATTTACTATACGTATATACGAAGTAGAGATGATCGTGGGTCTAGCTTGTTGCCCCTCGACGTGCCGGAGGCTGACCTCCGGGTCGCGCTGACCCGGCGGTGCTGGGTCGTGCGACCTCGGGCGGCCACGAGGTCGTGCGACCGCACGCCGTCTCGGGTCGCGCGACCTCGAAGCTGGCCGCTGCAAGTCCCGCGATCCAGGGTCACCGGCCGGGCGACGGCCGCCTCGAGGCCCATATCGGCCGGCGGTCTCGCGACCTCGGGCCATTTGCCGCCGGGCAGCGTCTGGCTCTTCGGCTGGCCATCGGCGGCCGGGCCCGGCGAAGGGTAAGTTAGGTTTTTATTCTCAAAGTCCATTTGCAAAAATAATTCACCAAACACTATATTTTGGCCAAAGTAGCTTTATAAAATATTTTTGCCAAACACCATTCAGAATTTCCCGATATAAGCTTTCACCCAAAGGTATTTTGCATTTAAATAACAATTTTCAAAGTTGAACCAAACAGGCCCTTACTATACGTATATATCGAAGTAGAGATGATCGTGGGTCTAGCCCGTTGCCCCTCGACGTGCCGGACCGACCTCGCCCGTCGTCGGGTCCGGATAGGCTCGGTACGATGTATTGTCGACTCGGACGATCGGAAAAAGAAATCACGGGATCGTATCGCGATATTCAATGCCCTTCAGAGAAATTTCTTAAACTCGTTTATGAATTAAACAAGAAGTCTACATTCATCATAATATGTGATGGAAGCTTACATAACGCATATGAATCGAGCATCCGTAAGGAATTAGTCTAGCCGAAAGGTTCGGATACTACCGGCAAAATACATAACTCGAATCGAGACAATATTAAGGTACTAGCCAACCTACTAGGTGAAAGTTCGATTACGGACCAACCCCCGAGCACGAGCTCGTGAATTAGGGTTGGCTTTCGGCTCGACCGGAATCGGCTAGGCGGCACCCGGAAGTGGTAGTCATCTTGCCCATACCTCGCCAGGAAGGCTGGTTCGTACCGATATGTCGATGCCAATGGTCGAATTTTGGGAAACACCCCATGTCTAGAGTCCAAACGGAACCTCTCCAAGGGACCACATGGGAGTTGAAGCAGCATTTTTGATACGATAGCTTTCGGATACAGATGACTTAAAAAAAAAGATATGAACAGTAGCATTCGGATACAGATGACTTCGAAAGACTAGTAGTGAACCAAGTAAAGCTTTTTCCGACATTCGGATGGAGGAGGACGATTCTTCGTACTTGTTATATATGTTGGAGAAGCTTGGATCCGAGGAGCTCAAGGAGCAGACTAGAAAGCCACTGTAGTTTTGAAATTTGTAATCACCCAAATCAAATAACCAAAGGTCCCAAATGAGTGTGATCTCCCTAGTGAAGATGACAGAGGTAAGCTCATTGATTCTTCGGCCTGTAATGATCGGGAAAATTGTTCAAAAAATCCTAAACCTATTTTATGACGATCAATTCAGTCTTAAACCTTTTAATTGTGATAATTTAGCCTTAAACCTTTAGACGATTTGTCAATTTAGTCTTAAATCTTTCAATTGTGTCGATTTAATCATAAAGCTTTTCACGATTTCCCAATTTAGTCCTAAACCTATTATTTGGATAATTGATCGGAATGACTACATTGGCAAATCGATAAAGGTTTAGGACTAAATTAGAAAATTATCAAAATGTTTATGACTAAATTGATGCAATTGAAAGATTTTAAGACTTAATTGGCAAGTTGTCAAAAGATTTAAGACTAAATTGGTACAATTGAAAGGGTTATGATGGACTTGGCTATCGTATCGTAGGTTTAGGACTTTTTGGACAATATTCCCTATCAAGATGTAACTTACCAGGACTAGGCGAAACTCGAAGCGTAAAAATCCCACGAGAATGCTCAATCGATGCTTTGAAAAACTGAATATTTGCTTATCGAATAAAATTTCCCAAGTGCCCCGGGAGAATCGAGAATAAGAACCTCAAAATAACTACAGAGACAGTATATCCAAATAACACAACTAGAAAGAATTGCTGTGATCTCATCGAGAGTAATATAACAAGTGAACTCATTGAATTGATTTAAAAGTAAAGCACAATCTGATCTACCACGTTCCTGAATTATGTACATCATCAACAATGACACTGCCAGGAGAGAAAAATGAATGGACCCTTTTCATTCACAACTAGGAACATCTCTCAAAAGAGACAGCATCCCAGTGACAAAACACTGATATCTAAGTGCCCCCATTCGCTTTCTAGTAGTAGCCATTGCCTTTCCCGGCAAGATGCTTTAAAGATTTCTCCGCTTGACGGATGCATAATCACCAAGAAACCGTTGAAACTACAGACTTATCGACAATGAATTTGTCTAGGCAGCTGTGACGTGTGATCTTGCAAGCTAGGAAAAATAGAGTGAAAAGTTTACGAAAAGAATATAAAACAAGGGGAAGAGGAAAAGGAAACGGGCCACCTTCAATCATACTAAAGGCCTTCCTTCTTCCTCACCTTCCCCATTGTCAACAGGTTTGCTGTCTCGTCGGAGTGGAGATTTCTCGTGCTTAGAACCACCATTTGCCATTGTACCCCTGGGAGGTGGTTTGTTTTCTGGCAACATCTTCAATATGATCCCCATGGCTATGAGCAGAAGCCCCGTTCCGTGTTGCTCTGTCAATGGCTTTGTAAATATCAAGTATGACAACAAGAGAGTGACGGCCTTCCTGGCAGTTGTTACCTGCATTTAGATTAACCAGAAGCATTAGCTGATCATTCAGATAAATGCACACTGCCATTTATGATCTTGTTTTAGTTTTCAGGAAACCCGTCTCTGTGGTGAACTCCGGAAATTCCAATGATCCTAGTCTTGTAACCGAGTAAAGTCGCACGGCTGTGGAAGTGGTAATTACAAAAGTACAAACTAATCCTTCTAACCCCACCCAAAAAAACAAAAAAGATCAACTGTAAGAAGTCCAAACTTTCTGAAATGAATGCGGTATAAGGTATTTACCATTGCAGTAGTTGCAGCCCCGAAGATGGCTATGAGGGATAATACAGAGACTTGTCCAACAAATGTGGCCATGGCTTCAAAAATTAACACCCCATAAACGTATGGGTGCTGCCATTGGTTACGGACAACAAAGAGTGAGTCAAAATGAATAAGATGCAAATAATGTGCAAAGTAAATATTTAGGTGCAGTCAACATAGACAACATTTTAAAGCCTAGAAGATAGCCAATCAAATTTACACTTTATTTTTTTTCCAATATTATTTCTTCATTTTCTATGGGAAAGCTGTGGATTTTCTGTCCCCTTTATCTACACTTGATGACTTGAGTTAGTTCGCTTGTCCCTTTTGAAAATATTTATTGATGCTGTGGATCTCAAATAATTTAATACCACTCTTAGAGCCCAACCTTTGTTTACCAAATAGCCTTACTGTACCAAGTCTGGGGAATGTATGATCAGCATTAGTATAATATAGAGTAGAATAGAATAGTCAACTCCCAGATCATTGAGTGTCCCAGGAAATTGCTTTAGCTGGTAGTTGGGCGTAGTGGGCACGTTATGTCTGAGTTCAGCGACTTAACAATACATGAGCAAAATGCAAAAAGAAAAGTTCTAAAGATGGAATAGATGCTGGATAAGGCATCTACTTTGTATAACGTGTAACAGAAAGAAAGAATTTTCCCCTCACCTGAGAACATGAATTCCAAGCCTTAAACAACTCCCCTGTAAGGATCATTGGTGGAACAAGGAAAGGCAGGCCGACTACTGTCGAACAGAATAACATCTCCATCTGCGAAAGAAGTAATACAACTTACGAAGAGGAAACTAACCAATCTATTACCTCCTAACCAAGAATCATCAAAAGGAAACTGAGAATGTAACTCAGTACCTGCGTTGTATCAGGATTCAAGGTAAATATGGCTTCTTGCAAATTTCCGAGAAATGAATCAAAGATTAAAGCTCCAGTAATCATCAAAACACCAATCATGCTAAAATTCGGAGAAGTCTGAGCATCTGCTAAGGTGAACAGAATCAGACCAGCTACTAGAAGCAGAGCTGATAAATACTCGTGAGCAGGGTACTTTCTTCTCAAGCCAGGAATAAATGCTCCCATCACCATGACTGGCAAAACCTATTCTTTCACAATGACAAGGGAAACAAGAATAAATCACTTAGATTTCCTACATTTCAACGACAGAAGCAGGAATATACTGACTAAAAGAACAATCCTCTGATAGAAGCCAAGTATTAGTCAAGCTCAAGACCGAACTAAGGAAAGATGGAGATGTTGATTTACCTTTGTGGATTTGAACATGATTTGGGCAGGATAATTGAGAAAAGCCAAAGATCCCTTGGTCAATCCATGAGAACCCATGAGCACAGCAGAGAGCTTCACATACGTTTTCCATGGGTTCACCATCTGCTTGGTGGTGAAACCCTGAAAGTATATGAGTATCAGGTACACGAATCCTTGTATGAAGGTGAAATACCAACCGTAGCTGAAAAGCCCAAAAAATTTAAGTCAATAACCCATAAGGCAAAGAGCTCAAAGCCAGACTTGCAGAGCATATGTAACAGAGCACACACCTGAATTGGAGCCGATTATACACGTATTCCTGCAAAAAGAAGAAGAATAGTAGAAGGTATTAAAGCATATCCATGAAGACATCGATTCTTCGGCATTTTCAAACTAAAAACTATCATCAAACTCGTCCCCGATCGAGTTAAACAAGGCCAAAGAGATCAATAGAACAGTAATGTCAAAGTGAATCCTAAAGAACGTCCACGAGAAACACGAACACCGCGCTTTTGCTGTACTTTGATGGGCTCCACCTCGCTCAACGAGCCTATGAAACATGCTTTTCGCGATCCACACACAAAATTCAGAAAACTCATCAAACCACAAAACAAGACTCGAACATCATTTTCGTGTTCGAAAGAGTCCCACCAACCAAACACCCAACAATTCCGCAAAAAAAGCTAGTTGAACAACCAAAATCAAGAAAAAAGTCTAGGTGACGAAGAACCAAGCGAACGGACCTCGCAGACGCCGTTGACGAGGTAGCCGAAGAAGAACCCGGAAGAGCAGATGAGGAATTGGTGCCACTTCGGGCGATCAGAGAGAGAAATCCCGAACAGGGACCTCGCTTGATCCTCGCTCTTCATCCTTCCTGCCCTCTCCCCCCTCCTCGATCCTCTCCCTCGCACCCAGAATCACGAGCACGACCCGACGATCAGTGGATCACCCCCGAACGCTCCAAGAACCAAGAACCGATGCGCGAGCAACCAAAGGGACGGGAGGGGCGGGCAGGAATCGGGCCTTGCTTGCTCGACCTCGCGTGACCCTTTGGGCACGGGCACTCCCCCCGCCAGCGAGATTAGCAAGAAACCGGAGGAGCAGCAGCAGCAGAGGGCCGGTTCATGACACCAAGAAAAGACGCGAGCGGTCGCTACAAGAGCAAGAAAAGTATACGACGAAGGACAAAAGCCGCGTAAAGCGCGAGTCCCACACCCCCTCCTCCCTCAGTAGTCTCACTCCGCCATCGGAGACTTTTCAAGTGACTCTTGCTTTTGGCGTTCCGAACTTAGCGCGAGGAAGAAGGACGAGGAAGATTCAAAGTCAAGAAACACCAAGAAATAGAGAGAGAAAGAGTATCGAGAGAGAGAGAGGGAGGGAGGACTGCCGCTCAACAGACCAGCTTGGTAGTGGCTTTAATATGAATTTAGGGCGGGCGTCAGGAAAATTTAGGAAACTTTCCGGTGAAAATCGCGATTTTCCCGGAAGTAATTTTCTCGGGAAAATCCGCGATTTGGTAAGTATGGCAATAGGGGGACCGTGCTGCTACTTGCTAAGCTAGCAATCAGCAGAAAACGGCACGCCATTTGTCCAGCGATTCGGCAAATTGACCAAAAAAACACAAAAAAGAAAGAGAACAAAAAAGAGTCGAATGCTTATTATCATTTGAGAAAATTCAAATGGATAAAACAAACCGATCCCAAATCGAAACGTGCGACTTGATTTCACTTCGATCCGAATACGTCCCGAACCGATATGTTTAGCTCGACTCAGTAACTTCTTCAAAACTAGATTAAATCGGATGCTTGATTTTATACGGAGATAATTCAGAAAAAGGGTCTTGGAAACGAATGTTTCGATTGCGTGCCTTTCGTGTTCGCGTAATAAATGCCCTCATAAATTAAATAAATTATTAACTAACAAGTTTTACTATCTGATGTAACATTGGCGTGCCCAATTTTGGGTCATGGAAGCAAGGATGTTGAACGATTTGGGAAGAGGTCCAATTTGTCGCTAAACCTCGTGCAAGTTTCTCATGTCTCATTGGAGAAACAGCCAAGATGGATCTCTCTTTCGAGCTTAACCCACTCGAAGGGGAAATAATTGGTGCAAATTAAATGATTGATGCGGAATCTACAAAGGGCCAATTCGTTGTCTACGACCGATTCAATGCAAGTTGATTTTCAGAGGCAAGTGCCTAATTATTTAAATCATAACAGTTGACCAAGGCGTGCAGGGAAAAATTTATCCAATTGATCATAAACTTATTTTGCAGGCGCCAGTCCGATTATAAACTTTTCAATTTTATCGATTTAGTCCTAAATATTTGCGCGAAATTTTAATGTAGTCATTGACACGGCAGTGTACCTCGACGATGACTGGACCGTCATGTCAGCGATTTCCGACGAAAGTTGGCCAGATGGACTACACATTGAAATTTTGCGCAAATATTTAGGACTAAATTGATAAAATTAAAAAAGTTCGGAACCTAAGCATCATCCATACAATATATACTAAAACTGATTGGGTGATTTTCGCATGACGATTTTGGCCTTGTTGGACTTTGATGTCATTCTGCTGTGTTTTTCCTCTTCTTCTTTTTTTTTTTTTTTTCATTTTTTAAGGTGAATAATTTACTATATTGTTGAATAATGTGCGTGATCCTGCATATTATGCCTCCTTGGCAACCAACTGAAATCAACCAGCCAATGCCATGTCTTTCGTTTCCATAATCTAAGGCTTTATCATTAGAATTTTCGTTTCGTCTCCTTTCCAAACTTTGTATTCTCTAAAATAGAAGTTGGTGGCTGGGGCTGCCGGCTTATTTTATGGTTATGGTTAAGGTTGTGTGACACTTGACAAAGACGCAAGTGTCTACACATGTTTGGGTGCGGGAATATCGAATGCGTAATGCTTTTTCTATAAGTCATGGACAATATTGCTCATGCACGCTATTGATAATTATATGCGGTCGTTTTCTTTTTTTGTATGATTAGCAAAAATGATTAAGAAGACTAATTCAATGAAGATTCTGGCGGATTGATCAAGCCTATGCTCGGATATATTAATTGGATTGGACATAACATACCTTCTCCACTTCATTCATGCTTTCTCTAGGAAAAATTTATATAGGGAAAATGAGGGGGAAAAGGTTGGCTAAGTATTGGTGAAACCCGCTAATTTCCAATGTCGATTCGTAATCAAAAGTCGACAGAAGAAGCACATTTAAATCGGTATCATGGTGATATTGATAAGCCTGGTTGCATTATCAAATTAGACATTTGAAAAGCAGTACATGATCACCAATCTCGAATTGATGATATAAAATCTATACAAGAAAATCGAATCCATTCATAATCGCGATAGAATTGCAACTGTACATCAATTGGGCTTCTCTTTGTGAAAAGTCATTTAGCATTGGTTTTTTTGCAGCAGTTAGCTCGTTGCGCGCTTGGCATCATTATCGCAACGACGCCAATCTTTGTAAAACCTGTTAAAATGGCATAATTTCTTGACCCAAATTTTGATTGGCTGATTATTACATAAGTTAGCTATGTTTAGTAAATGAGTTATAAATAGGTTTAGAATGATAAAATCCCAAAAAATATTAGTATTAAGGCGCCGTTTCCCGGAAAATATTCTCCTTTTGGAAAATATTCTCCTTAAGTCATTTTTCAAAAATGTTTCGAACACAATTTTCCAGTGTTAAAATTTGAAAAACTTTTCGGAAAATACTTTTTAGCTCGTTGCGCCGCGCCGGTGGCATCATGCGACCGCGCGGTGACCGACGATCCACTTCCTCTCCCACGGAAAACATTTTCCCTTACATGGGCAATTTTGCCTTCTTGGGAAAATGATTTCCTCTTTGAAAAAGAGGAAATCATTTTCCTCAAAACAATGAAGGATTTGGGGTGGGGAAGGAAAATATTTTCCCACGGAAAACATTTTCCGCCCCGAACACCGGAAAACGCGGAAAATATTTTCCGGAAAAATATTTTTCCGGAAACGAACATAGCCTAAGATTTCGTTCGTTTGGCGGAAAATGTAACATTTATGAAAAATATTTTCTGGGAAGTCATTTTCCTGAAAAATGACATAATTTTCCGATATTCGGCTGAAATTTGAAAAAGTCTCAGAAAATACTTTCCGTTGTTCGTATGGAAAAGATTTTTCTCTTTGCAATACTTTTAATATTTTTTAAAAATATTTTTAATTTTCTTTTTCTTCTTTTTCCTTCTTCTTCTTCTCCGGCAAGTTGCCGGCAGCGGCCGGTGACCGGCCACAAGCGAGCTCGAGCCTCGCCTAGCTCGCCAGATCTGGCGAGGCCCAAGCTCGCCGGCCTGTGGCGAGGCTCGAGTTCGCCTGTGGCCAATCACCGGCCGCCGCCGTGGCCGGCGACCGGCCGGAGAAGAAGATAGAAAAGAGAAAGAAGAAGAAAAAAGAAAAAAGATAATGAATGAAGCAAGAAGGTGGAGGAAAATGTTTTCCTTACATTTGTTCATATTTTCACTCATTGAGGGAAAATGTTTTCTGCGGATAGTTTATTTTCCGCCCCCCGAACACCGGAAACCCGAAAAATGTTTTCTTGGAAAAAAAATTTCGCGAAACGAACGGAACCTAAATGCATTCACATTTTATCCAAACCCAACCTAGCTCTCTTCACCCTCTATGAGAAAATAATGGACATCTCGAATTTAGAGAAGTTTTAGTGCGGTAGCAAGATGGGCCTGACTTCACCTTTATTAAAAATATCAAGATGGTCTTTTTCTTCCTCATTATTTTTTATTTTTATTAATCTTATAAATTTCGTCTCTTAGTTATTGAAGCGTATCTTTTCTTGGTTGCATTTGACATTGTTGTTTTAATGTAATATTCTAATCTTAGTTCTTATCATTGCAATCCATGGTCAGTATAAATCATATTTTTCAATATCTTACATTCCATTTAATTAAAATTTCAATTCCTCCATGTTATTTGTTACTGTAATTTTACAAATTCACTACCAAGTACTGACTTTCTCTTTTCCTTCGTTGTGACACAATGCAAATATCGAAAATTCTATGCAATGTTTAAAGTCAATTCTTTAGCATCTTAGATTTGAAATAGTGAATTTATCCAAATAAAATATACATATGAAGAGCTTAAAGTGGGTTAACTAGGTATATATTGATTTTCATATATTTGACTAAATATGGAAGTATTTAAATAAATGTGTTGGGTCGTGTATAGGCCGAGAATAGGTCACAAATTTGTGTTACATAAAGAATGGTCATTTATGTCGGACCATTTTTGACCAACTCAAACGTGATCTGACCCCACTCATTTGATGGCCCTAATCCTAACTCATCGGCCATAGCTCACTCTAATGCCATGTTTGGGAGAGAGAGACGGCCGGGGAACAAATGGGGACGGGCAAAGAAAATTTTCACATTTCCCCTTCGATCTCTTCTTACACAAAAATTCAAATTTTCTTAAATTGCTCGCTCCCATATCTTATTTCCTCCATTCCTTTCTCTCTCCAATAAGGCATAAGGACACTAAAAGTATGAAAAGTTTTGTACGACGCCTATTTTAGTGCCAATTTTTTTTTTTATTTCGAATCATTCAAGTGCCATTTAAAAAAACGATCACTTAAGTACCAAATTCGATTTGGATCGTCGGAAATTTGATGTGACAATTTTTTTTGTCAATTTTTTCGGCCCACGTGACTCACCGGCGTGCCCAATCAGCATTAATAGTCCCAAACGACGTCGTTTATATGTTTGCCCCAGATATAAACCCTAATTTGGCGGTTGCGACTCGAGCTCGTTTGCCCTTTTTTCCCTAAATCGGCAAATTACGGCTAAATTAAGGCATAGAAGCAAAACCCTAATCCTACCCATTGAAATTACTTGTAAAATTGCAGATGATCACACGCAAGAGAGTGAGCGAGAGAGCCTCAAAAAAGTAGATTTGAGGTCATCAAAGAATTGAATGACTGGTGTTATAGTTCAAGGTGGTTCTTGAAGCAGAGCAAGCGGGAGAGGCATTATGTGAAGCTTCTCGTGGTTGTTGATGATGGGGTTGTTGGGCGTGTATATATCGTCCGTCCGCTATGTCACGGTCTTCAAGATCTCCTCGAGGTTCCGCCAAGATGTAGAGTCAACCGATTTGTCTCGCCGGTCACGTCTTCATTTTCACCGTAAAGCCATGTCTTCAATCCCAACCACTCACGGTCTCATCTTCACTACTACTAAGGCCTTCCTCTTCCTCCTCCAAGCTTGAAGAACGGGCCACTTTTTCGCCCATGCTTCCGATTTTGTCATCCCGAGCTTTGGCGAACGAGAATTGGAAGCATCATGGAGGTGAAAACTTTTC